TTGTATATCATGTGGACAAACATGGGGTGGATGGGAGTGTTAAGGGGTAATTTGTTGATTTAGCAAACCACTATTTTTTTTCGAAGAAAAATATTTCAAGAGGAAAAAAGTGTGTAGTAAAAACGAGAAAGTAGTTTAAAGCCCAAAAGTATAGAAGCAGTTGACCAAATATTTACTTTATTCTAACTACAATTTCAGTGTAGTTAGAATAAAGTTTAAAGAATTATTACATATACTGTTATCTTTTCTTAGAGAATTTTTTGTGATAAAATGTAGCGTTAATAAACGGTTCTGTGATACAACAAAAACGATTTTTGTTACGATAGTTGATACAGGGAGGGGAATACACGGTAGGGTACGTTGGAGTAAATATTCTTACTTCTCTTTTTAATATATAAGTGTTTATCTCAAATGAATAAAACAACTAAGCTTTTATAGATTATTCACCAAATATATGGAATTTATTGTTCAGTAGAATGTTACAGCTAATTAAAATTCCAGAAGAAAAAAATATATGTAACGAACACTAAACAAATACCGAATAATTTACCATGAAAATGTTACTAATGAAGTATATAAATTAATTGGGAAAATTATTCTGTAAGCAAGTTTTAATTTCTGAAAAAAGGAATATAATTCAGTAGAAATATAACTGATTCCCTAAAATTTTACATTGTTAATTAATTCTATGAACTAAATGCTCGTTTTTCAATTCTCTTATTCCCCAATGTACAGTGGTGAACCCTAGATCGGACGTTCAACATTACGTACTACATACCCTCCTGTCTCCTAGATCCGGTCTATTCCCGATATATCCCGTTCTACCGGACACTGCCCAGGTGTCCTAGACTCATCGATGAGGTTTTGTTCCAAGCCAGTTTTTAATTTCCAGCTGCCAAACGGAACCTGATTTCCAGTACGGGACCGATACACACGGACCGGACTTGCGACTTGGGGATGAAAAACTACCCTAGCCACGCGTCGCGACCAACTGGTTTTTTCAACTAGTTTTTCGGCTTTGAAACACTTTGGGCCAGTAGTTTGATCACCACTGAAAAGTAAGGTAAAGTATTTTGCTTATGTCTGCATTTAGTAAGTTCTTACTTTTCCGTTTTTCTAGACGTTTAGTACTTGTTTACCCTTTTTTGTCGATCTTAAAGTTGTAGATAATCGTATAAGAAGTAGGAGTATTAACAATAATCGGAGGATTATACAGTGAAATCAGCTATAAACTTGTGATGATTACATATATTAGTAGTATAAAACTGAATTCCTGATTGTCTCATTTAACTTTTTTGTACTCGTTAATTTATAGGTAATTTGCGATTTAGTATTATAATTTATTATTTATTTTTAAATATATCTAAGTTAAGCTGTTTATTAATTAGTTTTAAAATAAATTAATTTTTTAGAATGTAAATTCAAATATGGTCAAATTAAAAATGAAAATCAAAGGTTTGTTACAAATCATTGTGTAAAACTATTTTTTTATAATATATTACAGTTTTGAGTTAATAACTAGATTTTTTAAATTTTATTTACAGTACCTTATGCATGACACTTAATTCAAGGATAATACATATAAAGGGAACGTTCCACTACATTATTTTAACATAGAATCCCCCTACAGATAAGTTGAATTGGTTTGAATAACAATCCATTTAATTCCATAGCACTTAAAACAGTTTGGATCTAATCCATGGGTTTAAAAAGGTTCGATTCCCTTCTTACCACATATCCTAATGCTCTTCAAGAAAATTTAAAATTAAAAACACTAAACAACTTAAAATCTATCAATGTTTACTTTATTGATTTAACACAGCGATATAAATTATGTATCAAATCATACACCTCACAAATACATTTCACAAAGTCTGACAAGACTAGGTCTAATCGCTTTAGAGCCGTCACAACCAAAGTTTGTATTACCATCTTCGGAGACGGGGATTACCTAAATTGTCACATAAAGGAGCCCCGAGGAACGCGTGTCAAAAATCTTCTCGAACCTCATATGAAGACAACAGAACTGTCAGTCACACGCCTGATTACAGACGACATTTATTCCCAGTTCAAAGATGGCGGCGACCTCCCGTGTCGGGTTTTAATTTAATTTTCTCTCTGACACAAAATCAACGAGCAAAGAAGGACAAGGGGAATACAAACGAGGAGTAATCAAGACGCGGAGGTGTTTTTGGAATATACAACCTTTGTCTGATTGTCGGATCTTGCATTCCACGTACCTGGTGAGCTGCAAATGAGGCTTTGGACGAAGGTATTTTCATTAAGTTCGTTCAGGGTGATAAAGATGGAGCAGAGTATTTCGCGGTTCGACAATATTCGAATGTTAAGCAAGAAAATATAAATTCTACGTTGAAGGTTGGTAAAAATAAAATTTTGGTCGATGATGAAATTTTTTTCTTCATTAGTCTCTGCTTCTACATTGTCAGTAGGTCGTTATTCAGGGATAGTGGTCGAATACTCTTGGGATTCTACAATAGTCAAAATGCTGAAAAAATTATTCAAATTTCATTGTAGTCATGTACGTTCACATTTTTTAGCAAAGATTACAAATTTACGGGTTTATTTATAATAAACGGTATCAGCAATCTGGCATATACTTTCTCTCATTAGCTTGTCAACAATCTTTTTCATGGGTAAGTGATGATAGTAACTATGATATTTTATTAGGTAAAATCACAAAAGTTGCATTAGCCTTTGAACCGTAGTTTTTGGGGGTTTAATTGAAAAATGAAATAAACTACATTAAATTTTGAACCTTAATTTTTACAGCGATGGGGTTTGCACTTTAATAATAAGGGTTACCACATACTAATTTCAATAAAATTCGGGGTTTTTTCTATAATCCTATTTTTTGTTACATTATGGGGTTTCATAAGAAAATAACATAATTTACAATAACTTTTGAATTGCAATTTTCACAGAAATGGCAGTCATACCATTTTGTTCAGAATATAAAGGGCTACAATAGACCAGATTTTTATCAAAATCGTTCAAGCTATTTTTGAAAAAATCTTTTTCCCATTATTTTATGGATATTTATGGGAAAATACCCCATTCAAAATCAAAATTTGCACAAAAAAAAACTGGAGATACCACGGATTAGTACCTACATACCAAATTTTAAAAACATCGGACTACAGGTGTGGTATGTTGCTCTGTACACATACACACAAACATACACAGACACACACAAACACAGATATCACTTCGAAAACTTTTTTTTGGTTCAGGGGGACCCAAAATAGATATATCCTCTCAAACTTGAAAGTTTTGACGAAAACAATATATTATGTATAGAGGGGGGAAGTAAAAAAGTGTCAAAATTACGAGTTACAACAATTACTTGGTTAAATTTAAAAACTAACTATATGATATATTTTTAAATTTTTATCACTTCACAATACAATTTAACATTTACTAAAAAGTTGTCAAATTGACCAGAAAATATCGTAAATTACTCTTTTTCGTCTGGTTTTCTGGTGTAGAACTCTGGCAAGTGTTCCATACATCAGTGACATTACCTGGAACCATACCATAAAATTTATCTGGCTACTACAATGATTAAATTTATTTAACAACTTGTTTTCCTGGAAAATGTAACCTGTATATTACTAATTATGCAACAAAAACCAAAATTATTCATAACCAAACCACCTTACTAAATCTAAAAACGTATAAACAATCTAATTGGCCGATTTACTTATACTCGTCGACCACTTCCCAAAAGAGGGAAAGAGGGAAAGTTTACCTAGCAAACACGCCAAGCGGATTTTAATGGAGCAAACAAAGAACAGCTGAGTGTAGAGTAGTACGTCAGTCAACATGACCTGCCGCGTCAGCGCGCCACTCGTCCGATTACAAAAAAGAAACAAATCCTGCTCATTTAGGGGAGACCCCCGCTCTCGTTTTCCTCGTTTTTAACGCCACAACACGACCACTTGGCCTAAGTGATGCTCTGACCGCAGTGGACAACAAAGCCCCCCCCCCCTGACCGTTGAATGGCCCCGGTTTTTGCAAATTGAGAGAAAAGCGCCGTTTAATTGTGACCCTCGTAAATGTTGACGGTTTCTTAACTGAATTTTAACATTGGGTTAAGTGACTCGTTCACTGTTGAATGTTGGCTTAAAGGGTTGTTCTGCCTGTTTGTTTTTCTTCTTTTTTGCAGAGATTTTTTTTAAACTGATTTATAAGTTAATTTATTGGTTGTTGCTGTTTATGTTAACAGTAGTTGTTTCAATGAAAAGAACTCCTATTTTATGGAAAGAATTAGATATTTTCAACATACAATTAAAAACTAAAATTTATGATATAATGTAATTAATATCGTAAATATTTTTATTGTTCGAAGTAATGTCTTAAACCTTTTTTCAAACTTTTAATCTAATACTCTTTCTTAAGATATTACCAAAAGCGTTTTTGTTCTTTTAGGCCGACAAAGCGTAGATTATTTTAGGATAAATTCAGTGTAATCATGTAAACCATTTGACTTATCAAATTTAAAAAAATCCAAAAAGAATTTTAAATTAAATCTCTAATTTGAGGAATCTTCTCAATTAGCTTTATTATAAAATACGTCAAAATTACGATTTTCACCGACTTAAAATAAAACTAGGCTTGAAAAACGCATTTGTATATGATATTTAAATTTAAATTGGTATGGAAACAGTTTTAAATACAATTTTAACTTACATAGTAGCCTACTTAAAAAATTAATTCTGTTTCGTAAAAATTCTATTTAAATTTTGTTTAACTACTATGACTTTTCTTCTCGTTGCAGCTGTGAAAAAAAAACAAAAAAATTAAGAAATTAAAAATTAAAATCAAATATTTTAACGTATAGCTAAAACTATTTGCCAATGATAGACAGAATGGTGACTAGAGAGACAGAGATCAATAGCGGTATTGACTGTACCCTACGTCATGGAGCAAGCCGTGAGGGCGGATATTCAAGATGGCGTCTCTCGTTCTCACCTCTCTGCACAAAACCTGGACCTGTACCTTCCCTGGTCCAGTCCCTGGTCACCCTGGAGTACCGGATACCCACCACAGTGCCACAGACCATCGGCGGAACACCAGGGGTAAGTACAACTCTGGAAGTGTCTAACATTTTTGAACTGTGAAGAGTTCGCGCCAGAAAAATGGCCCCGCTACACCCCGTTCAATAAAAGATGGACGCGACTTTTTTCCGCGGGATATTTTTTCGTTGGAAAGAGCACATTATTGTAAAAGTTATTTTAAGTGTTTATAGATATCTAAGTAAATTATTTAGAATTAAAATTTGCAATTAACTGCGCGAATAAAGTTTTAAATAGGTATTTGTAGGATGAAAAATTTATTTTTACCGCTTCTGACATGCGCATTCATTTTGTAAACTTATTTCCGCTGTCACTACTCAAATCAAAATCAACATTGTTTGGTTTAACATTTTTAAACAAAACTTATAGCTTATTTTATTTCTAGAGTAGATTGAGTTCTTGGTTAGCGGTATTTTAACAAGATAAATTAAACTGAATTTAATAAGTACATGAATTTTCGTAAATAACTAAATTTACTGCTTATATAAATTAGAGAATTATTTTTTTAAATAATATGTTTATTTTGTAATATATTTGTTTATCAGTGTGAGTAAAAGCGGTACTAAAAGTTTATTGAAATAGGTTATTTATATTGAACATACAATTGTGTAGATAACGTTTATTTAGCTTAGAAAAACTATAAACTTATTTCGTAATAGGTTAAATATTTAGGATAATGAGTATCATATCATGACCAAACCTAGCCTAAAGGCTTTCAATTCAGTTATAGTTAACGACAATGAAACTGTACGGAAACGATTATGTCTATTTATTGTTTTATAATGTAGTAATATATATTCATACTTCTAAGCAAAGATTAGTTTAAATAATGTGTATGAATTATTATATAAACCCTATAATACAAAAAATTATAAACCGTTCAAAAACACAATTTTTTAGTGTATGAATGTCGAATAACGTTTTAAAGTAACTAGCTACTTTTAACTCGTTTTTAAAATTTGTGTACGATTCAATATAGTATAGCCTAAATGATTTTCCTTTCATGTCCGAAATATATATATCAAAACATTGTAAATTACAGGATTCGTACATAAATACGGCAAGATTAAGATTTTGTAATTCCATTTAGGATGTTAAGGAACCTACAAATCAATAACATACTTTAATGATTCTAATAGAAATAAGACCCAAATGCATATATTTATTCCATTTACAATTAACTTGTGTATTTACCAAATATTCTACTTTTCTCTAGTTTACAATGCACTACGGCTAAAAGATGTACTAAAATATTAGGTTATACATGTTTACTTGAGGTATATTTAATACAACTACTTTTCGCACAATAATTCCACTTAATGTGCTATAGGTGAATAATTAATGAAACTTAATGAGAAATAATAAAAATTATGTTTAATGCAATATTCTCCTCCTTAGGTTGAGGTAAAATGTAAAAAATGTATCATTTTAATGCTCAAACTATGGAGAAGTTTCAATAATATTTGATAGTATTGAAATAGTTCTAAATAGTACTAATAAATAGTATTGCCTCGCCTTAACATGGCGTATGGCGAAAATTTTATGATTGATATTTAGATTAATTTTGGAAAATGATGTTTTCAAATGTTTTATTCAAAATATACAAGGGTTTATGGGTCCTCCTATAACAAACTATACTTTTTTGATTATTGCAGATTCTTAAAATGCAATTAAAAATATCATCATGATGGATAAAAAGCGAAACAAATGTTTTTATAGGCAATGTCAAAACATTTTGAAAAATCTAAAAGCTGCTGTTTCTGGAAGGAGGAGTGACATATAACTATCCAAATTGATTACTTTATCGTAATTTGTGTTCATAATAATGCATTAAAATCTTTTACACTGATTATCAAACACCCTGTATATCATTTTGATTATATAGCTGCTGTACGTACCAGAGGCTTTTTTCATTATTATTATTTTCATTTAAAAATTATTTACCATTCATTGAGTATAGATTGTTACTTTTGATCCTAATCCGTAGACCAGTAATTAGTTTAACCGTGAATGTTATAACCGCAATAAAAAGAAAACTGAGAATTATAACCAAAACATTAAAATAGAGCATTTTTAAGGTGCATGATTTGCGCTCCTTAAAATGGACATATCACGACTTTATATGCACCGATATCCTATATAAAGGCTTGTAGGACATTAACATATTATCAGACAGCTTTGGTGTCTAATCGCAAGGAAATCTTCAGTGGGACAGTTGCTGGTTGGAACCCCAGCATAACCATAAAAATATGCTCATGTTAACTACTTTGGCTCATTGTTACCTGTTCCCAAATTTAAAATGACGATTAAAAAAAAGAACCCAGACCCTTTAAGAGTAAACACCCTTTTAAAAATAAAAATTTCTAAAGAAACAAGATAATTGTCTATCAAGAAGCTAGCTTTTAAATATAATTCTACTCAATTCAAGCTTTATTCTAGTGGTATTATACAACGTGCAAAAGCGATGAAAACATTAATTGTAATAATATCTTTATGTATGAATCAATTTACGAATTTTAGCCGCAGATATAGGAAATAATTCGTTTCGAGCACAACCTCTTTAGTCGAAAACGATCATCGATTATAAAACGTTATGTTGTTTCAATTACGATATTTTAGTGTGATAAATAAACTTGCTAAGGTTTCCAAATCGACAGATTTCATTTTTTCGAATCAGCTGTTTTAAATTGTATCACTTATTGCATTTGAGACAAAAAAAAACGTTGTAGGTTATCGCAAGCAGGGCCGAGTGTTAAGTCGATATCGAAACGGGCGTATATAAACCCTAGTTTCGAAGATTATCCTCGTACAAACTTCAACTAGTTCGGTAACAGTTTTTGAATAATAATAGTAATTTAAGTTTTAATAATAGCTTAGACAGGTGTAAAAGGTAGGATTACAAATTTTATTTCGAATACAATTGCGTCCGCGGAAACGTTTGATAACTGCATGAGCGCCATAACTCCATGCCACAAACCATCTGAATGCACCAGAACTGCGCGATTATCACCATTGTAATGCATGCACTGAATAACACAAAATGGCGATTTTAACGTTTCGTCCAGATTACAATCACATCACATGTTCGCACAATAGGTTAGGCTGGTGACTTTTGGCGCGAGATTATCAGATGATTTCCTCGCCGATCGCGCGCAAATATCACCAATTAATTTTACGTTTTTGGTTCCGGAGGGTAATGGAAATGGCGCGAAATGAAGTGTGATTTGTCCGCTCAGCGTTCAACGCTTCTCTTTCCAGCTGATTATCTGTTGATTGGAGTTTTAACTGTGGAATGTGATGTATTAGGTGTATGCTTGGTGATAAATGGAGTTATATTTATATCAACATATTTGGCTTTGTTCAGTGGTGCATAAAATTAATTTTAAACAGTTTTGACACATAATATTACAAATAAAAAGTAGTGTAATTTCAGTAGAAATCCAAACACGTCCAGTTGTAAATTATTATAAAATTATAGGCAAGTTTTGTTGAAAAAAACGAATGTCCATTAATATATATTGTTATAATATTGTTTGTCGATTCATGTAAGAATACTGTATAATATTACAAATGAAAGAAAATAATAAATTTACAACGTAAAAAAGTTACACCATTCCGATAATTACACTGTTGAACTAAATAAACCAACAGTTTTCAAAATTTTCTAAGCATAAACCCGCAGAGAGAGTAAGAGAGATGAAAGATGAGAGAGCTCAAGTGAAGCGCTACCTCTTGATGGATCAATTAAAACTTGATGTTGTTCTTACAATTTAAACTTTCCTGGAAGCGAGAGCAGCCATTTTGTTTGCAAGCCCAGAGCGGCTTTGCATATGTTTAAAATGTCTGCCTTTGAATAACTTGAGGAGCTTAGCGGTAGAATAACAGCGTATCTTCTCTAACTCCCTCGGAGAAAATTCCGCTTTTAATTATTCCGTTGTTAATGTACAAGTTTCTCGTCATATCCATTGTCTGTAATAAACTTTATTATGATGCGGAGCACAATGGGAACTACATTAGTTTGGGAACTTTCGAGTGCATTTGCCACTTCTCAATTTCCCCATTATCGGCTGCTCAGGTAAAAACGGAGGCATTGTTCGAAGAGAGAAATAGGTAGGCTAATTGTCGGAGTTGGAGTGGTGCAAGGATACGTCTTGGCAACTCCACCACTTAGGGGTCTATTATCACTTCTACAGCCGCGGCGTGGTGTGTGAATAGGGACGATTTGGTCCCTGGGATATATTCGCAGTTCCTGTAAAAAAACCCATTGCTACATAAAACCGTATAAGAAATAATATATACCAAACGGTGTCATAAAATGATTGTTCTAACCATGTGGTTGGTCTAATCAAAACTATTGATTTAAACGCATATTTATATTTAGTTGGATCAACTATTTAGCATGTGGTTGTTTGAGTGGTGTCGTTTTAGAATGTGTTGCTGTAAATTTAGTTGGAGAGGAAATTATCGATTCCAGAGCTACGCAAATTGACGTGAAGGATTTGGAACACTTGCCCTTAAAAGGATTCGCATTACAAAGCCCCTAACCTGTAAAGCTTTGATAACACATATATTGTTCAAGGTGTTAAGAAAATTGTTGAACAAATGTTTGCTTTCCTACCTAAAAATGTAAAGCGAATAAAATTCAAAACAATACGATGTAACACTAAACCTACCATTACTTTAACTTAAAATCATTTCAACAATATTTTCCTCACACGATGTAAGAATCTGTCATGTTGTGTTTCATAAATAGTTTCGTGTCTAGCAACGATGACCTATCACTAATTTACTGTATATCTGTATATGTAGTTCACTGTATTACTAATTTACCCCACCGTACCCCACCGTACCCTACCGTGCCCCACCGTGCCACACAGTGCCCCATACACTCAACTCTGGGTGGCATAACTCCTGCCCTCAACTTAGCTCGCGTGCACCACACGCCTTATTAAATTTAATTTACGTTTTCAGCACGAAGGAACTTCGTCTTGCATATTTCCTGG